AGGGCTGTCTCTTTTTTTTAAAAAAACAAATTTGTTGTTATTATAAAATTTTTTCCCTCAGTGGAGAAGTTTTATTTATGAAAATATCGGTTTTTTCCCAAAAGGGGTTTAATTTCTCTTGGGCCATCTTCCCTTTTATCAAATTTGTTAAAACCGCGTAAAATTTGATATTATATAAAAAATTTCCCCCCCCCCCCAAAAAAAAAAAAAAAATTTAAAAAAATTTATTAACCGCCTTACCCCTTTCCACTTTCAACCCCCCCCCCCGACCCCTTTTTCTCTCTTCCCATCTTCTCCCCCACTCCCCCACTTTCCTCTCTGCTACGACAGGCTTCCCTCTTACTACCACGGCACTCAACATAACCACCCCACCCACCACCACGGCCACCACAACCAGTACCACGCCAGGAGCAGCAGGAGATATTTCCGGAGCACCACCACCAGCAAGCACACAGAGACCGAAAGCACCGTCACTTCTGCAAGATGCTTCCCGCCCTCCACAGTCCGTGGCCAATGTCCTCTCGGCTGGCTTACAACGAGAGACAACTCTTGTGTGGCTTTCCTGATGACGCCATCCTTCTTAGAAGGGTACAAAGATTGCAGCAAGAAAGGAGGCAAGCTGTTCTCCATCGGTGAAAAGGAGAGACCGTGTGTTGCAGGTGAGTACTTTCCCTTTGATGTTGGCCACTGAGTCGTTGTTGCAAGCAATTCACTTACGTCCAAATTGTGAATATGTTCTATGTTTTCACCCCCCAAAGCTCTATCACAGATGTACCCTTCAACATCACTAAATTACAGTTTAATGGTATGGTCTAGGCTTAAAATGAATTTGCTTTTCAGGATTCCTGAGTGGAACAACACTGCAAAAGTTATCAGAGGTCAAGGATGAAAAAGGCTTAGCGACGAAAGTTGTCAAATCTTATGGACATTTATGTGCTTATCCCAGCGTTTTTAGTTTTCGCTTATCAGGTCAGATTTTTGCGAAATTCACATATTTATAAAAAATTCAGGTATTCTTGAGTTCGTAAGGGAAGGTAAGAATAACAGGCTCTATTAAACAAGGGAAGTAACTTGTATATTTCCAGAAAAGCAATAAACCAAGAATGTTATATTTGCATAATATTCTATGTAGTTAAAGTTTAAACTCCAGTCTTTTTTATAGTTTAATAGTAGTATAAATAGTGATAGAAATACTGCAATCTAAAGTTCGAAAGACCATGCAAAAAAGCTAAACAGTGATGTTTAAGTTTTGTAAAAAATTCACTAGAAAACGTCTAAGGGAGGTAATCATTGGATGATGATTAATTAAAGCTAAGGTAAGTGGTTTGCAATGTTAAGTTAGTTGTGTCGTTTTGAGGATTACTTCTCGAATTTAGTGACCACCCACAGTGTTTTTCTGTTGTGCTGCTACAAAGTCTAGACAGAAAAGGTAATTCCCCAATGTCAGTGGAGATAATTAACTTGAAAGAGGGCTTTTTAGATGGACGTGGTATTAAAAGAGTCACATGTCATGACACATTTGAACAGATGATGATTTCACTTGAGAAAAAGATGTCACTCAATGAACTGAAATTACCAGTATACAATTGTATTTTTGATGCTCATACGAATTAGATTTAGGGGGTTATACTTAAATGAACTAAAGAGAGAAAAAAGTCCGATGTATCGTATTAAAATTCCTGACTTGATAGAGAAAAACTCACTCAACATTGGGATTCTACGACCGAAATACCTTATGAAAATCATATTCACATGCCTATTATACCCCAAAAGTGTGTGAGACGTAATCGGTTTTTGGTTGAAATGAATTAAAGGGTGGAGGTGGGTGGGGGGGGGGGGGGGCTGCATCCTGAAAGTCCCGATTCGGCCTTTAGTCTCTCCTAGATCTATTTCATCAGATAAGAAACGCCTAAAAACTTTATTTCTTTCCATACCTGGCATGTTTGTTACCACCATATCCTCATAAAATAAATCTTTAATTTTTTTTTTAATCACTCGTTTTCTCAAAACGCGATTTTTCTATATACTTTTAAAAATAACTCCACCATTTTCAATCCAATCTTCATGAAGTTTTCACAGAATGAAGAGAAAATATATTACAAAAAAAATGTCAGTTTATTATATATGGAATAAGCTTTTGTTGGTGGTGTCTGGAGTGTGGATTTTCACGATTTTTTTGCAAACCTGCATACTACCTCAGGAAACATCGAAAATGTTCTAATTCATTTAGAAAAAATACATGACAAAAATTTGTAGGTCTGTTGTTTGTAAACATACATGCAAAAAATTAAATTATATATTTCCATGAGCATTAAGTGCAGTATTCATTACGTAAGGCATGTCAACTAAATCCAGTATGAACGCCGTATCCATGGAAACGAAACTTTTAAATCAAATTGTATTGCAGATAACAAGACTCCTGACTTTGCTTGTTATATGTTTGAAATTTGATCCTCTAATAAGCGAGATAGCTTTCAGATGCGCCTGCCCCCCCCCCCCCCCCCCTTTAAAGAGAAAGGTGGGAAAAAAATTGTGACTTATAATTTAAAAAATCCTGACCTGATAGAGAAAATCTGACACCAGATTCGAATTCTATGACTCAAATTCTAGATCTCTATGTGAAAATCATATTAACATGCAAAAGCCAAATTTTTTTTCTTCTAAAATCTGTCGACTAGTATTAAGCCCCCTACACATGTACATTCCAAACTGCCAGTTCAGAATGGAAAGGTATATCTGGCGGCAAAACCGCATAATATGGACGAAAAACTGCTAGAAAAAAGTCAAACCGGGAGGCCGAACTAGGTGTTTCAACGTGTGGATATTCTGAATGCAGTTCAGCGCGCTCCCCCAACGACAGCCTTTGTGTGATGTCACGAGCTTCGCCGGCAAATCTTGTTACTGCCAAAATCTTCAAAACGATTTACCGCACATGAAAGGTGATTGTATTTTTTAAACAAGCGACCCAATTTTAAAGCTAGAGTAAAGCAGAATATGTTGGGGGTTTTTTTTTTCAATAATCAAGGAGATTTTTAAAATTCCCTCATAATATGCATTCACTGAAGGGGTTCAGTCCAAGTTTGGACTCTGTGTCTCGTGTGCACTTATTGGACCTCTGAAAACGGCAGCTTGTTTTTCTATGCTTGGCTGAACATTTGCTAATAACGGCAGGTATGTCTCTTCAACCATTTGTAGAAAAATTACTTTAATCATCAGAATAAAGCCATAATTCCCGAAAAA